TCGCCTACAGGCACAGTACGGTAACACAGGCGGTAAGTTCCCATCGCCCCATCCAATCACCCGAGCCCCCCGGTCACCGTTCGATACTCCCCGCTTTTTACGATAGAGCGACGGGGCCCCCATGTCTAAGCAAAAAGGTAAAAGTCAGAAATCCACCGCTTCCACTGTCATTCCCCCCAGAGTACTCGTACACGGCGACACGGACCTCCCACCATGAAGTAGTTTCCTTTCCCTCTCAAGTATCCGCAAGGGTTCCGACTTCCAACTTGTAATTTTCCCTTCCGGGTGGGGCGCTATCCGTATTAACAGATCTCTAAGCGTTAGCGATAAGAGCCTCCTCCATCTTCTTCCACCCCTGCTCCCATCCGAGGCTCTGTGGAGGATAGACTTACGTGTTCCCGTTCCGCGATAGCTTAGGAAGTGAGCTACTACACAGCGCGCTGTCCCCGTTCTAGATAGATTTATATGACCTGGTCTACTGTAGCCGTAGGATAGTGCCGTAGCTTGTGAAGCGCCCGGATTATATCGTAGTGCTGCTGCTAGCTCAACTCCGTGACGGGCGGAGAGCTTGCACTGTACTGTACCGTACTCGTACGGTTGATGGAAGCTGCGGTTAAACCGTACTCGTACAGTACGAGCACAGTACAGTACCACCCCCACCCCTTTGATTTCAGGTCTCCCATGAGGGAATCAATTTTTGCAGAAGCAATACTGTAAAGGTGGGGTTGCATATCTATACATTTTGGGCGGGAGGAGCAAACAACAAAAAACTCGAGTTATAAATAAAGAAATAAACTTCCCACATGCCTAGTCGGCAGCAGTGAAGTCAAGTCTAATACCGGTAGTCTACTGTACTCGAGGACGTTAGGAGCCACAAGCAGACTTTGTGTTCCGAACTGGTCCCAAAGTCGATTCAACCAAACATCAGGCACGAGAAGAGTGCGCAGTACTGTACGAGTATTCCCAGCCTAGGGGCGGGATGCCAGCTAACACTATGCCACTAAATCGCGATAAAACAGAATCGCCATCTTCTCACTGGAGGATGAGCCTGACTTTGTCTCGGGGAGGAAATGGTTGGATGCTTGCGTTGCCATCAGCCGCAGTTGCCATAATCAAGCCCCTCCGACCAGCTCCTGTCCATCGCCTCTATGCCACCCCTTCCTGAGCTCCCACAGCGGTTTCAACGATAGTAACTATACCCCTCAACGAAATGGATCCGCCATCAAATTACTACCCAGTCCTTACATTGAACAACGACGAAGGAAATGCTGCGGGCGGTCGTGAGAGTATGCGGGACGACAGCGATGTATCCGTAACCGATGAGCCATTGGACACGCTAGAATGGCTATCCCCGCAGACACCCCGGGAAAGGCACCAGGCTATACGCGCCGGCCGGGCCGACGGGGTAGGAGACTGGCTTCTTCAGACACCCGAGTTCGTGAAATGGCGTAGAGATGGAGACTGTCCCGTCAACCAAGTTTTGTTTTGCTATGGGGCTCCCGGGGTTGGCAAGACGTGTCTTAGGTGCGAGCGGCGTTGATTTTCCTAAAATAGGTCATGCGGCTAAAAAGCAGCCATAACAGTTCTCTCGTGATAGACGCACTGTGCGAACGGATCGATGGGGAGAAAAGTGCGGCCGTCGCTTATATCTATTGCGACTTCAATGCTGAGAGCGAGGAGCCTGCAGCCACAATGCTGGGGGCCCTATTGAAGCAGGTTGTCGGAGGATTAGGCCGGATTCCGGTAGAAGTACAGAACGCCCTTGAGTCCGCAAAGGCCCAGGTAGACGGTCGAGGACCCCGGCTTCCAGAAATCCTATCGATGCTCACAAAGTCGCTATCATACTTTCCCCGGGGGTTTGTCTGCATAGATGCTTTGGACGAGTTTCCCGCAAAGCACCGGCCGGAACTCTGGGAAGCTCTGAAGTGTATTGTCCGGGAGTGCTCAAACACTCGGCTATTCCTTACCGGGAGGCCCCACATTTTAGATGAGGTTCAAAAATGTTTCCCTGGGGGTGTTGATATGATTGCCATAAGCCCTGCAAAAGAAGATATTGGACTATATATTAAGATGAAGTTGAGGAGGGACCTAATGGCCGATGAAATGGATGAGAAATTACGGGCGGATATTCTCAAAATTATTCCCCAAAAATTGTCTGAAATGTACGCATCGTTGGACATTCTAAACTTCAGGTTATCTAATAACGCTCTTAGATTCCTCCTCGTTTCCCTCGCGATGGACGAAATCCTCGCGGAGGAGTCTATTCACTGGAGACAACAGGCACTGCATAGGGTGGCCAATGGGCATAATTTAGAGTACGCATACAGCATGACATTGGCTCGCATAAGGGACCAGGGTGGATATGGATCGAAACTGGGAATGAATGCACTAATGTGGGTTTGTCGCTCTGGACGACCACTGGATGCCGGGGAGTTGTGCCATGCGTTGGGGGTTGGAATAGGGGGGAAAGACTTCAACATTCACAATGTACCTTCGATACGCACCGTACTAAGCAGCACCCTAGGACTTGTCACAATTGACGAGAAATCATCGACAGTCCGTCTCCTACATTTTACACTTCAGGAGTATCTTGAAAAACAACCCACCCTATTCGTCACCGCCCACTCGAGAATGGCTGAAGTCTGCCTCACCTATTTGAATTCTCGGTACATCCGAGATCTTTCACCAACCGTTGATCTTGCCCCGCCGGCGGTACCGTTCCTTGAATATGCTGCGTGTTTCTGGGCAACCCATGCCACGATGGATGTTACGGAATCAGTGAAATCCCAGGCGCTTCGACTCCTTGACGGATATGAGAACCATATATCCGCTAATATCTTGTTACAAAAGAAAAGGCCTTTGTACGTTTCCCAGGGCCGTGTGGAAGGATTTACCGGACTTCACTGCATAGCATTCCTAGGGGTAACGGAGATCGCGCGTTCCATGGTGGTGGCGAAAAGATGGGACCCGAACAGACGTGATTCCAATGCTTCAACACCTCTATTGTGGGCCGTTACATACGGGTACGGGAATGAAGAGGTGGTGAAACTACTTCTGGAGCAAGGAGACACTGATCCTAACGTGGCCGACGGACATGGCCGGACGCCACTCTCTTTCGCCGCAGAATTGGGACGAGAGAATATAGTCAAGCTACTTCTAGGGCGCGGGGATGTGAATCCCGATTTGCCGGATAGCGAGGGTCGAACACCCCTCTCTTTTGCTGCCGAGTGGGGGAGGGAGGATGTTGTGGGGCTGCTTCTAGAGCGGACGGACGTCAACCCCAGCTCATCCGATAATACTGGCCGCTCGCCGCTCTCGTTAGCTTCCGAGTGGCGGCAGGAGGTCGTAGTTAAGCTACTCAAGGAACGGCAAAGCAACTACCCCGATCAATCCGATCCAAATATCCAAACCCCACTCCCGGTCCCTACCATGAATAGTCATGGCAGCACTGCGACGCAGCTGTCCGAACCCGTAACTCCCAATCAAGAATTGTCCAACAGAAACCATGGCAGAATCCCACCCTTCACCCCTAATGAGAATGCTCGGGGGCAAGTACCACTTCTACTCCTAGAACAACAGAATATCGCTCTCTCAAGTGCGGATAATCCTGACACCACTTCTACTCGCACCATTCCTCCTCGCACATCGGCCCTGCCTTCCGAGAGGCAATCCGCACGGTCACCGCCACCACCACTCCTAGCCCCTGGGCAAAACCGGTCAGACCCGCCCCAGCCTGCCACTCCTCACCCCCCCGCCTCTAGTACCCGTGCGCCACCACCCC